CCCCAAAACCCCAAAACCCCAAAACCCCAAAACCCCATATTCAGTTTAAAACATTGATAAAATTTTTACTTTATCCTCAGCTTTAAACAACCTTAAATACCTTATTTCATCTTAAATGCAATTCCCTATCCTCAAAACACTGTTAAACGACCCTAAACCCACTCCAAAATTAAAAATAATTAATTTTCTAAAATCTCCTCAAATCCACTTCCACTTCTCTCTTCAATCTCTTCAATATCCAAATCTTTCTGCATTTCCTATACCAAATTCCCTTAAATCCTTACCTGGGGGTCAAACTCTATCTCTTTCCCACTTAGCCTCATACTTTCGAAGCTATTTTCCTGTTTGCTGGCATTTTTAATATACTCTTCTACACTCTCGTAGACTCCTTTCCGAATGGAATTGACTTCATTAAATATTTCCTCTCTCTTCTTCTGGTAATGCTCCAGATTCTCCATATGAGCTATGTCTTCGTTCAGAGGTGACATTATGTAGTCCTGGTCCTGAGAATCCTTATTGTGCGAGGAATTTATGCTACTGATTCAGGTCACTGGATTCTATGAGAGTTAGATGTGGTTGGCTTGGAATATACCTTATTCCGTGACTGATTCGGAGATGTGTTTCCAAGCAGCCGGCGTAGTTCTTCCTTGTGGTCCGACTGAGAGGCTGGTGGGCTAGGCTGAAGAGTCTTTGGGTTATTAAGAGTCCTAATTTGTCGCTGATTAGATGACTCATTATCCATTTCCATCCCGCTGTGTTTAAGGGTTTCTTTTATTTCTTCAATTGATTTTTCAGAGGATTTATAACCTGAGCTTACAATCTTAAATTTTTCTTCGTCATGAAGTTGGTTTTCAAAGGATTTAAATTTAGGAGACATGAAAATATTAGGAAATTCTAAGTTATTTCTTGAGTCTTTATCCTCTTCATGATTATAAGCTTTAAGAATTTGTTCCTCATCAGTGTCGTTATTGTCTTTCTTAGAATCTTTAGCTTCGCTACTGAACTTTGAATTATTATTCATTTCATTCTCTATTTGGAAAACATCGAGAGGCTCTTGAATAATAACCTTTTCTTCGTCATAGTTCTGTTGAGATGGCTCTCCAATCTGCTTTATCTCTTTGCTCATGCTGAACGAAAACCCTCGCTGGCCCTCCTTAGGGTCATGCAGCGACATCACATCTTCCTGATTCAGATGCATCACTGTCTTCACCAGGTCATGAGTCGTCTGGATCCGCTTTTCAAGGTCTCACAGAGTGCTGTCTCGGTTGGCTTCAAACTCTTGTTGTTGTCTGGCCATTTTGTGTTCTCGCTCTGTGACATCTCTAAGCTTGGCTTCAAGCTCAGCCATTCTGGTTTGATGCTGACTGTCTCGCCTGGCTTCAAGCTGTTGGTACTGCTCATTTTGTTTGTAAAGTTGGTCTTTATGTTCTATATGTTGGGTCTTTAATGCATACCTTTAACTGCAGCCAGTTCGCTTTGTTGAGCCTTAAATTTCAAACTCAGATCGTCGTATTGCACAGTCTTTGACTTAAGCATTGCTTGCGCTTGCTCGATGTCTTTGCTTTTCTGTGCAAGCTCTTGGTTCTTAAGTCTGAGTGTTTGTTCGAACGACTTCTTTTGCTGCAGAAACGACTGGTAATCTTGACTAAGGGTTTCTAGTTTGTTGACCTGCTCTGAACTGATCAGCTCAGCCTGAAGCCTGACGCTGGCTTGCTCAACATGAGCCAGCGTTGACTTGTCATCTAGTCTGTGTACTGTTGAAGTTGCAGCGTCCACAAACTGAGCACCTGATTTCAGCATTTGGTTGTCGCTTTGAGTGAAAGCAAGCTCGTCGTCTCCCAAAGGTTGGAGCATCAAGTGGCTTTGGCTTTCTGTAGGATCGAATGGGTCTCTGAGCGAGTGTTCTTGATGCGCTTGACTCTGTTTCCAGAACTGGTCTGTGTTTCCGAACAAGTCTGTAGGTTTGGTGTCGATGCTCCTGATGTTGCGGATGATTTCTTTGAACTCTTCGTTGTTGCGTCTGTTGCGCTGTATTTCAAGAGCCTGTTCTCGCTCAGAAGCATTGCCACCTGGCCGAGTTGCCTTTTCCATGATTTTGAGTTCTTCTTTCATTCTGTTTTCGTATTGCTTGAGCTTGACTGCTTTCTGGTAGATTTGTTGTGACGCCACTTGCATCGACTTGAGACGCTCTCCGAGCTGCTTGTAAATATTGAGCAGCTTGTTGGCTGCTCTAGCTTTTCTGCGGGGTGACCGAGCAGTTTTGTTACCTTTACTTCTTTTTGTCAAAGACTTCGAGTCGTGACTGACCATGTTGTCTCTGTTGTATGTTCCGAGAACACTATTGAGCTGCCTCATCGTTTTGTTTCTGTTCAGAGTTGTGTTGACTGCATCGTTTGAACTCAGCCTGCTGTAACAGTTGGCTTTAAGCAGCTTGCGATTGTTATTTACCCATGAATCCTATATTATCATTACATTTGTCATTATCATCATCATCATGTGATTGCTCTGAGACTTACCACGAGGAGCTGCAGTCCCTTTGAGACTTTTTCATTGTTTCTGAGAGCCTCCACTGACAAAAGACTTGGCCATGGCTTTGGTGTTCTTCTTCTTATTTGAGATGACTGGTAGACTTCGAAGTCACTAAACATTAGGCACTGTTAGACAAACTGTATCTCAACTAAGCATTCAGACACTTATTTAGAACACCCATAGGCTTGCTATTGACTTGCCATTGGAGGGTCGATAACAGCCGAATTCCAACTTACTGAGTTCTTTGGAGTCTCCGAGTCTGCTGTAGAAACTGAACGTGCTGGTCGCTTTGTAGGGATTATTCGTATATTTGCTGATCGAAGGATGACTGACTGTGTTCCCATTTGCGCCCACATTTAGAGCATGTAACTGAGCAGTGAACTTCAAGTCTTCTTCGAGTTTGGTCTGGTCTTCAGTTAAGTCGTAGTGGAGTCTCTTGATTGTGTCTTTACTGCTGGGGATGTCTTTAAAATGATTTCTATTTGAACTTTGCTTTTTGTGTGAAGAAGGCTGCGATTTGGGCTTGCTCGGGTTGTCTTCATGAAACTGCTGTAAAGTTTCTGCAGTCGTTACTAGGTGCTTATCAATACCGAAAGTGGGGCCTCCGGATGATGAATAATCGTATCAAGTGTTATTGAGCTTGTGCTTGGCCATCCTGGTATACATTTTAAATTCAATTAATAAATTAAAGTAAGGGGTTTTGGGGTTTTGGGGTTTTGGGGTTTTGGGGTTTTGGGG